TTCTGTTCTGTTCTGTTCTGTTCTGTTCTAATTCTGTTCTGTTCTGTTCTAATTCTGTTCTATTCTACCTGACAGTAACACAAGTCCCTGGCCTGCAGACCTGCTCATTGTAACGCTGCAATGTGTTACAACATCACACAGGGAGTCATCTGTTGTCTTTCAAGTTCAGACCTAGGAACCAGAGCAGTGTCTCATGATTTTGACCCAAAGAACTCACAGTAACCACAACACACACTGCAAAAAGCAGCAAAACCAGGTAACTTTTATGTAGTCACCAAGAATGAGAGAGTGATTTATCAGTGGTGAAAGGAGAAAGGGATATGTGATTGCTGTTCCCATTAAAGAGCTGGGAGATACCAGCCATAATGCCATTACAGTCCTCTTCACCAGGGTTCTGGAAATTCAAAGTTCATTTATCTGGTGTGAATTTCACACCCTGCTCTCCATTAAAAGTCATTCAAAACATCACCAAGGTTTATGTGGTTGATAGCCAGAACACTAGTGAAGACCAGTTGTCTGTACAGTTGGGATGCTGAAAAGCAGAAAAGCACAAGAATCCTTTTGCAGCATCCATAGCACTCTTTACACACTCTAATGCCAGAAAATAAGGGGAAATAAACCAAATTCTAGGTATAAATAAGATGTCAGCCTTTATATTCAGTAGTCCAAAACATTATAAAATAACTGAACTATATCAGAAGCAAAAGGGAGTTCACTTTTTGGTCTCTAGTTGACCACTGGAAGCTGACCTATAGTTAATGCTGACTTTGGCAGAAGAACCCAGACGTGATCACTTCATCACGGTCCAGGTAGTAAAACAACTTCTTACAGAGTGGAACAGAGTGGAAGACACTAAAATAACAAATTATCAGCATAGAATTAGAAACATGAAAGAAAACAATCACAGCTTTTCATACCTATATGCTAACTGAACCTATTCTAATTGTGGAGAAGAACTGGGAGCTCTACTTACTTTCACAGAGACGTCTTCTCAGCTTCCCCCGAATTTTATCGATGGCATTGTAATCGGAGACATGAAACACATGAGCAGACTTGGGTTCTGAAGCAATCTCATCGAGTTCCTCTTTTAAGGCTTCGCCAACTCCCACAGCAAAGATCCTAATCCCAGCCTGATGGGCTGCAGTGGCTGGATCCAAGACATAATCCTGGCTCCTTCCATCAGTCAGAAGGATAGCCACTTTTTTAACTGTTCGATCACTAAGTCTCCCACCAGCTTCTTTGGAAAAACTGTAGGTGTTGATGTACCTGAGAGCATCTCCAGTGTTCGTGTTACCCCCATAATACTTAATTTTTCGTGCAGCCTCTTTGATTTCCTCACGGGTTTTGTACTTTCCCAGGTCAAACTCTGTGGTTGGACGATCACTGTATCGCACCACACCTACACGGGTTTTGTCTGGGCCAATCTCAAAAGTTTCCACCAAATTAGACACCCACTGCCGAACTTTCTCAAAATCTTCTTTTCCAACGCTGGAGGAGGCATCCAAGATGAAGACAAGGTCATAGTGAACATTCTTGCAACCTAGAAGAGTGGCAGAAAATATCGCTAAGGGAAGCTGAAAGATGAGCATCAGACATACTAAATATTCCCTAGGCATAGCTGTCTAGTGAGCAGTTTGGAGGAGGCAGCAAACGTTCTCCCTATCCTGTAGAGAAAGTGCAGATTCTCAGCCTTTCTTCCTTGTGATTCATCTCATCTGTTTCAGGACATCTACAGTAGATCAGCACACACTTTGCTTTGAAATGCAAACCCTTTTTCTTCCTGCACTACTTACTGCCTCTGCTCAATCTTTCACCTGTATCATCTGCATGCATATGAAGCTATTTTTCTCAAACTTCATTGCAGTGCCTTTGCTCAGGCAATGCTCTAAAATGACCTTGGCAGATCAAGAGACCTGCCCTGACCTTGCCTCTGCCAATACTGACCGTGAGTAGTGAAGCTTTCATGTTCCCTCTTGCATTAACATTATGATTTATTTATGCTTAGCTAGAAGCAGTTCTTTTGCTCAGCATGATATCTTGGTGAAGCAAGTTTATAACATGATTATTTTCATTTTGAGGCTCTCTGCCATTGAGTATTGACTAAAGGATGACTCACTGAATACTGGGTGGCTTCCTTGACAACAAAGGGCAGTTGCTTTGTAAGGGAAAAGTTCACTTATCCCCACAACCACCCTTTTGGCTCCAGCCATGATATTTGTAATCTGAGGCCTGTGTAATCCAAAAGGCAAATGTATTTTAATTGCAGTTTGCTTGCCCTATGAAGCCAGACTGGTTATATATTTGTCAGCTGCTTGCCAAGAAAGTAGATCTCCCAGGAGATGTTTTCTAGTTCTTTCTGAATATATGCAAGCCAAGAGGCAGTATATTCATAAATGTGCCACAGATGCCAAAGATTTATCAACTTAATGCCCCACCTGCAGAAAATGTATATACATACACGTTTGTTTAATTCACTATCACAGACCATAGTTCCTAAAAAATTATGACTTTCAAGATTGAAAGCTGCTCTACAAAGTCAATTTATCTATGGTCACAACCACCAAACATTGTTTCTCCAGTAGTTCTTGTCTCACATTGTTTCACAAAGTACAACTGGCTGCCATCCCCCAGCCTTCCCTGCTGCCTGGCTGGGGGTGGTAGGACAGGCTGTGGCTGTCAGGTGAGACCCTGCTCTGCCAGCCCAGGGGGACCCCCAGCTCCTGGCTCCCCATCCCTTAAAAAGTAGTCTGTTCTTGCTGCACTCCTGACCAGAGCTAAAGCACTGATGTAGATACACCCAATGTGGATGTTAGCTGAGAACTAGGATGTTTCCCCTGGAACAGACCAAAGAGTATGGAGGTATCATACACAGTTCATCCAGTCAAGCATTTGCTTGACAGCCAGCTCAGTGAACAGAAATATGAATCATGCTACCCAACGGTGGGGGGAAATGATGCTGTTGCCGTATTTCCTCACTGAGTTCCAGCATTTGAGCCTACAGGAAGGTCACAAAGTCTTCTCCCACACCCAAATTTGACCTTATGGTTCCTAAATTAGCTATGATGCTTTTGATCATCCTGGGGCTGTGCACTTGCCCTGAAGAGGACAGGAATCCCAGAACAGCCCACTGCAATGGAAAGGAGAGTGTGGGTGGCTCAGCCACATGAAGAGGACTTTCTTTCAGATAAAAGTAAAAGCATTATAGGTAGGCATTATGCTGTAGGGCAATGCTCATGGTATTGCATGATGGCCATGAGAGTGGTTGAATATACACCCAGTGTGTTGAGAGTGACGATGAAAAATGAGCATCATCTGTTGTTAATTCCCATAGCAGGGGACATCCCAGAGACCTGACCCAGGTGCTGCTGTTCCTTCGGTGTCTATGGGAATAACCTATGGACATGGGATTGGGATGACATTGCGAAAAACCCATCCACAGGTGATTGTGTTGGAAACAACCTGTCCACATCAGATCATGTTCTATGACAGCATTTTGTGAGTGAGGGAACACTTATCTCTAACCACAGAGCAAGAAAGGTCTGGCTGGAAACACACAGTAACTCTCTCAAAGGTAATCAAAGTGTGGAGATGACTGAATATATCATTTTGTATTATCACATGTAAGTTACATTACATCTGTGTAGATCAGCTAGACTGCCAAGTGTAGTTCTGCTTGATTTTTGCAGAATATAAAGGATATAATATATAACAGTAAAAGGTAAGCAAGAAATCTCCACTCTGCCCCCTCCAATTCATTATTATATTAATCTGTTCTGTCTAAAAGAGTATTAATTAAGTGAGACTAACCAGAGAATATAAAAGTTTAAGTACAAAATCCACAAGGTACAGACCTTCCTGTTGCTTATTTTAATGACTCTCAGCAGGTGAGATGACTGCAATTAAAAAACAGAACAGACAGAATGAATCCTGTTGGTGTTCAAGGGCAATGAGCCTTAAAACAAGGGGAGGGTTAAGGTTTAAAAAGTGATGCCTGTTCAGGCAATATGCAGGGAAGAAAAAGATGGTCTTTCAGGAACATTTTCCTAGAGTCAGTGATTCTTTGCTTACAGACCTGATGGCAGTGAGATTAAATGCTGCAGAAAAGCTTTTAGTAAATATTAATCTGCATTTTTAACACCGTAATGTCCACTGCCAGACAAAATTGATTGTTTTCCAAGAATGCTATAATAATATTGTTTACTGGCAGAAACAGTTCACGTTAAGGGAATATGGGAGATAATTCATAGAAAGTGAACTTTCAGTTTTGCAATTACAGGAATACTCCCTGGAAGCATAATTCCAGGAGTTGTATTCATCCACTCAGACACTGAGTCAACCGTTTTACAATATTGCCATTAAAAATAGTTCACAAACAAGCCATAAGCCCAAAAGTATTTAAAGTAATCACAGAATGAACATATCAATGGTACCACTATATCCTTCCTATGACTGATCCACAGGCAGAAAAAAGATGAGATTTTGCTTTATTTTGTTACTAAGTACTTACTTCTGTTAAACTTTACCCAAAAAGCCTTGTATAGATCACATAACAAAGCTGTAAAGCAGATATTCTTTCAACTGAGAGAAGGTCTAAAAAATCTTTTTATTTCTTATAAATTACCCAAGGCTACAGAATAGCATCTTTCCTAGAAAAAGAGACAGAAAGCCTCCATCTCAAAGTACCTTTGGGCTTTTATACAAATAAAACTGCTTGGTTCTACAACTTTTTTCTCGCCCTGAGGTATAGCATCATTCACAGCTAGATAACTCAACTCTTCCTACTGCCCCCCAAAAAACAACATGTCCGTGTCGAGACTGCCTATAGGAACAGTCCCTCAGCTGTAGCATCCTCTAATGCATTCAGTGGCATTTGGGAGAGAGTGCTCATCAGCGCAGGCCAAAAGCCATGCCAGGGACCATGCTAGCAGCATGAACCAAGAGAGGGGATGAACAGTGCCCTGGCCCTGTTTAGCTCACTAGGGAAGTCCCAGACAGACAGAAGATTCACCAGATCTAATCTGAAACCCACTGAAGGCAATTGAAGAAGTGATCTCCGTGCCAGTGTGGGATAGATGAAGCGTATCCAGAGCAAACTGCACGCTGCTGCCCTTGCTCCGGGTAGCTGAGCTAACCTTTCCGAGCCCGCAGCAGAACCGGAGACCCTAGGTAAATCATAACCTTGATCCCTGAGCTGTCTTCATCCCTAAGGTCCATTTTATGTCTTTTCAGCAGTAAATGTCTTGCTTGGGTTTTACATTGTTTTCCTCCTAGCAACGATAGCTTCTCAGCCACCTAAAAAGCCCAGCAGCTATTTAGCACGAGGCAGCAAGCCGAACGGCACATACCTGCTCTTTGTGCCTCAATTCTCCCCCTGCTGAGCACGAATGTGAGAAGAACCAGGAGATGGGGCACGCGGCATCTTCCCGTAACGGACATATCTCCTGTCTCACTTCAGCTTGTCTTTTCGCCGTGGTGAGAAGCTTTCTAGAAATCCAATCCGTAGCCTAAAATAAAGAGCAAGTGTTATCTCATAGAAACACAAACAGAAGTAATGATGTAAGTCATGGGAGCAACATTTTGGGAAGTTGTCTCTTCTGCCTGTCATTTTACTTGACTAGACACAAACTGCTCAGACAAAGAGGCAGGAGTTCACCTACTTTTCAAAAGCTATAGCCTTTCACTGGCTCTATTCAGTGTGCAGCAGCCTGAATGGAAAAAGGAGACAGATTACCAGATTATTATACTTTAATTGAGCCCACTGCCAACTACACAATCAACGCACTGGAGTGGAAACCATTCCTGACCTGGCCCTCCCACACATTCATCATTAGGAGATACACAACGCAGAGCAGAGATACAAACCACTGCAAACCACACACAACTGCGTGCTACTTCACCCGCTGCTGCTTTCAGTTCCTGAGCCTCAGAAATGACAAATGCTAAAAATACGTGGCTGTCTTCATATACGTATTCGTTGCTATCAGTCCTTCTCTATAGGAGTAAACTCAGCAGCTTCAAAAAAACATCTTTCACCTGTTTAGTTTAAAGGAGTGCAAAAGCTCAGGTGCATGATCTTCAGTTTAAGGTCATTGGTTTGAGTTTACCTTGACTGAAGCCACTGAAGTCAGCTGGTATTGTAACAAGCCAGGCGAAGTGGCTGGGCTGTTAAAAGTTTAGCTATGTTGTCTAACACTAGATCAACTCCTTTTTAAAACCAAAAATTATTATTTACTTACTGCTGTTGTTTTATTATTTTTTATTAGATCATAAAATCATTGCAGGTCTCTCTACTGTATATACACACACAGGAGAAAACAGTTTCCACTCTGTAGCTCTTATGCCTAAGGAATCATTTTGGAAAACTTTCTCCCAGCTCCTGAATCCATCTTTTCCTCTTTAATGCACAGATTTCTTTGTTCATTTTCTTTGGTAATTTCTGCTTCCTCTGTTTTTTAACATGCACATCAGCTTTTTGCTGTTGATAGCCGGGTAAAAGAGGCATGCAGCGGACACTGTATGTTGTAGATCATTGCTGCAGCG